GTTAGAATTTAAAAAAGTAAATTTTTTGAAGGTGAATATGTGAGCGACTATCCAATCGAATTATCTGCCGGAATTTCAGAAATTTTTATTTATTCGAATATCGTTGCTTTTCATCGTGTTGGGGATATAACCGCTTTACTTTTAAGGGTTATACCTGTAATGGTGAAATAATCAGATCAAATAGTTAGGGTCTACCAATTACCTCTATATTTTTTTCTACGACGTAATTATATAGATACAATCGAAATCTAGCTGAGAACTGCTAGCGGAAAAGAAATCGTCTTTTTTGGAAGAAAGACATTATTAGTTTTATCCTTTAAACAGATATAAATGTTGGTATATTTTATTTATTAACGTTAGTTCGTCTTTGTGAAGTAGAAAATGAAGCTCGATCCTCGAGATTGTATTGATTATTACTGCAATCAAGCAGGAGGAACCGTACTGACACACGGGGTTTTATTATTTGCACAACAATTCCGACAATTCGGAAGAGGGACTTATTTTGCTGGACCGCAAATACAAAGAGGATACGAATTTTTGGAATTTATTTTGTAAATCTATTCCTATTCTTAGTAAAGTAGGAAAGTATCTAGGGGGTAAAGCTTTAAAATTTGCATCGAATGTCGGATCAGATGTAATTGGAGGGAATTCGTTTATAGAATCTACAAAAAATCGTATTAAAGATGTACGATCTGAAATTAAGTAAGAGGTGCTTAAAAAAGTACAGACGAAATCGGGTATAAAAAGAAAACGACGAAAAAGATTAACTCAGTCGGAAAAGAAGAAGAAATGAAAACTTAATGATATTTTCGGTAATTAAGAAACGATGAATGTCCATTCGTGTGGCTGCACCAATTCTGAATTAGATTTGTTTACGAATGTGGGAATCCAACTGGCTATAGACAATACGTATGAAGTCATAGCGCATCTTGTCGCTGCAATTAATAACAGTAGATCACCTATAGAGTTTCTTATATCGAGATTGGGTGACTATTATATGGATCTACATTCGATTTATCTATGTGTTCAAGAGAAAATCGTATAGAAAGATGGATCAAAGTTTGGCTCGGAAGAAAAAGTTACTCCTGTTAATTAATTTTTAAATAGTTTGTTTTCTCAGTGTACTGTGTTTTTAAATGACAAACCAGTAATTACGCAAATTAATTATTCGTATCGTGCTATATTAGATGCCTTGCTATTTAATTCGAAAGAAGTGCAAGAAACTTTTTTAACAAGCGCGTTATTTTTAAAAAATACTGCCTGACAAATGGATTCAATAAATACGTTAGATAAAAATAATACTAACTACAGATTAGTTAAAAGATTTAACATCAGCAAAGAAAGTAGAATAATAGATTTAATGGGACGTCTTTATATTGATTTAGCGAATCAGCCTAAGTTTCTGACGAACAATGTAGACCTAAGAATTAAATTGAAAAGATCTAAAGAAAATTTTGCACTAATTGCAAATAACGACCACTATAAAATTATTATTAAAAACGCTTCGCTGAAAATTAATAAAGTAGATGTTAGTTCGTCAATACAGATATAAATTGAAAAAGCGCTCCAAACCGGTATAATTAAATTACCGTTCTGTAGGACAGATGTTAAAGTCTTTACATTAACTAGCGGGATTCAGTCTACAAGTATATCAAACGTTGTTATTGGCCAACTACATTATAGAATAACTCTCGGATTAGTTCCTAATTCTGCATTTAATAGAAATGTGAAGCGTAATCCTTTTAATTTTAAAAATTATGATTTAAATTATATATGTTTATCAAAAGACAATCAAATGATTCATTCTAAACCCTATATTCCGGATTATAGCAATATAATTTATGCAAGAAATTTTATCTCGTTATTCGAAGATACCTAATGTATTCATCATCACAAATCTATGAATATATCGTACGACGAGTATCGAGACGGTTATACTTTATATTGTTTCGATCTTACCCCCAATAAATCAGGCTCCAAGTCTCACGTTAGTGTGAACGAGCTTGGAAACATTTCTGTGGAATTAAAGTTTTTGAAGGCAATACCAGTAACCATAAACGTTATTTGTTTGCTAGAATATAATAATACCTTAGAAATCGATCATTCACGAACTGTATTCGTCGATTATTAATGAATACCGTTACGTTGTGGAGATTAGCAGCGAGCGATCCAAAAATAAAAAGAAATTTTGGAGGAGTTTTTGCATCTGACGATCTACTGTTTCAAATTGGTAATAAACAATCTTTTATAATTAATTTAGATGAAAAAAATAAGCCCGGAAGTCATTGGGTATCGGTATTTTTTACGAAAGATAAAAATTCTTGCATTTATTACGATAGTTATGGATTAAAACCGAGGAAAGCGAGTATCATCAGATTTATAAAACGAAATTCAAAAAAATATTGTTGGAATAATATTATTCATCAAAGTTTGTTTTCCTTAAACTGTGGTTATTTCTGCTTATATTTTTTATATAAAATTAATAAAAATCTATGTTTATCAGAACTGCATGTAACAGATAAATTTTATAACAATCAATTTGTAAAAAATTTTGTTAAAAATAATTTTCATTTATCAAAACCGATTGTAATAACCAATAACCAGTGTTGTAATTCAATAAATAAATCTATTTAAAATATGAAAATTGTGTTTTTATTTACAAAACTTACTATTCATGTTCACTAAATTTCCAGCGTTCAATATTCCTCATTTTCTTTTATTACAAGCTGCTATTTGAACCTCGGGCAGTATTTATACTGATACAGGATTTTTCCTTAATAAACAAGTTATGCATTCACCCTGGCCTCACAAAATAGGTAACTGGATTTTTCTCCATTCGACTTGACAGGACATGTTAAGGGATTAGGTTAATCTATCATGTTTTTTATTTCGGAAAAAAAACGCCAATAATGATCTGATTTGGTGCAAATATTGAGCTGTTTTTATATATGAGTTAGGATTAGATATAATACCGATTATATCCAACAGAATTATGTACTTTTCAATACTTAAAATATTAAGAAGTTTTATTTAATACATACCTGTTTTCGAGGAAGAATTCTTATCCTCTGATGTAATGGTAACAGAGAGCAACGTAAGTCTTCTTTTTTATTATCTAGAGATTATATACGATTTAAGTTTTAAAAAAACGATTTGTTCTTAAAGAAAAATATGATTTTGTGATTGATATTGGCAGGTGAATTATGGTAAATATATATTTTAAAAAAAACGAATTATTGGACAGCGTTTTTTTTAAGAAAAATCTATTTTGTTAATTTTACTGATTTCTGTAGATAATATACAACTTGTTGCTAGTTTTTTTAAAAAAATATGATTGGTTCTTATAAGACTTAACTTTTTTTATCTGCTTACTTTTCTCAGTCGTTAGATCCACAATCAAATCTTGTCTTTTTGTTTTCACCACCTCTTTTGCTTATCAAAATCAAATTGTACAATTAGTTTAATTTTATTTAGGTTTTCATTATATCATCAATGATGTTTCTAATATTGTGAGTATAGAGAAACAAAACTGTCATAATATTTTTTTTTCTTAAAATCAAAAATCAAATTCTACAATTAGTCTAATTTTATTTAAGTTTTCATAATATCATTAATGATGTGACTAATATTATGAGTATAGAAAAACAAAAACTGTCATAATATAGTTTCTTAACAGAATTATTAGGCGAAAACATATGCGAAAAAACAGCTGTCCCCTAGTTTGAAGACACAGCTGGGGAAAAAAACAGCTGTTCCCCAGTTAAAAGACAAAAAACAGCTGTGCCCTTGTACCAAGTTAAAAGACAAAAAACATAGCTGTCCCTAGTTCAAAGATACAGCTGGGAAAAACAGGTGTGGTCCTAGTACTCCGGTTAGAAGACAAAAAACACAGCTGCGAAAAAAAAGAAACAGCTGTCTCACTGTGGTTGTTTGAAGACAAAAAACACAGCTTGGGAAAAACAGCTGTACCCTAGCACAGTAGTTAGAAGACAAAAACACAGTTGTCCAAGTTAAAAGACCCAGCTGCATTCCCACGATCTGGATAATAACTCTTCGAAGACAAGACAAAGAAGTAGCTGAAGATAAAAGCCGCTGAATTTTTCCAAAACTTCACTTATCGACCAACGTTTTTACCAAGAACCTCAATCATCGACCAACTTTACTACCAATAACTTCACTCATCGACCAAGAACTTCACTCATCATGTCCGACATCGGTAAGTAATTTTTTATTTTAATAATAATAATACCTACCTTAATTTAGATTATAATTTTTTTATAATCTAATTGTAGAATTTGATTTTGATTTTGAAAAAAAATAATAATAAAAGAGGTCCCAAGCCTAAAACAGCCGACAGTGGTGAAAACAAAAAGACAAGATTTGATTTGAATCTAACGGCTGAGAAAAGTAAGGAGATAAAAATTCCGGACTTTAAAATTAAGATGAGTGAATCTGAGAGAATTGAGATACAGAAATTTTAGTCAAATTTCTATGTATGTATGACAAAAAGTAAAGGATCATATCCTCCTAATAAATATAATATAAATGTAAAACATTTTAGCAAGTATAAACAAGCATTCAACGCAATGGGACAGCATTTGAAAGAATATACCAAATTTTAATAGTATGGTATAATGTTTTTATACAAATTATTGATTGTGTAATGATATAATGGTATAACAGTTTTTTAATATTTGCATAATGTTTTTTTATAATATAATGGTTTTATTCAATATTATTCATTGTGTGATGATATAATGGTTTAATACAAATTATTGATTGTGTAACGATTGGTGAAAACAAAAAAGACAAGATTTGATTTGGATCTAACGGCTGATAAAAGTGAACAGATAAAAATTCCAGACTTTAAAATTCAGATTAGCGAATCTGAAAGAATCGAGATACAAGAATTTCAGTCAAATTTCTATGTATGTATCACAAAAGTAACGGACCATATCCTTCTAATATAATATAGATGTAAAAGATTTTAGCAAGTATAAACAAGCATTCAACGCAATGGGACAGCATTTGGAGGAATATACCAAATTTTAATACAAATTATTGATTGTGTAATGATACTTTTTTTTTTAAAAAAAAAATGGTTTTTACATTTATATTAAGGAAAAAAGCTTTCAAAGGGTATGTCAGAAGTTATAGAGCATTTATCTCTAATTATACAGATCCTAGTATTTTATTTGAAAATGTTAGACATACTATTTATAATATTTTGACTAATGATGATTTAATTTCAAGGATGAAATTTTTATTAAATCTAAAGATAAAATTTATAAAATATTCAGAAAATGAAACTATTACGTATCAGGATGTGTTTTTCTCCAGTCGAGTAGAACATATTTTATCTCGGTATATGATCGATGAAAGGTTAACAAATGCTTTTGATACAATTTTAAACTTCATTGATCAGTTTATAAAAAACGGATCAGGGTGGATAATTAAGGAAATTATATTTTTAGATATTCATTTAGGAATTTATAAGGCTGAGAGTGGTGGATGTGGTAATATCATCCTACCAAAACATTTAATTAATAAGCGTTGTTTGTTGAATATTAAATGTAGTGATAATCAATGTTTTTTATACTGTATAATTGCTAGTTTGTATCCAAATACTAACAACAAAAATTCAATTTATTCGTACAGGAAATTTTTGAAATATTTAAATACAAATACCCTAAAATTTCCAGTAAATATTACAAATATTTTGTCATTCGAAAAAAATAATGGTTTAAAAATTCAGGTATTTGGATATGAAAAAAAAATAATTTATCTTATTTATATAAGTAAATATCAGTTTGAAAAAGAAATTAATTTGTTATTATATAAATTACATTATTTTCTAATTAGAAACTTCTACAGACTATTGTCAGAAGAATCAGGAATACGAAAATTTTGTAAACGATATCTTATAGGCTTTCAAAGAAGTCATACTTTAAACGAGCGAGTAAAATATGTTCTAATTTTAAATATCAGAAAGTTTCTACCCCAACTGGAGAAAGAGCGGTTGCTAAATTTACTAATTACGAGAAGCAATTATATCACCCGATAGTAATTTATTCTGATTTTGAATCGATTCTAGAAGGAGTTGCTGTAAATGCCGTAGATCTAAATTCTAGTTTCACTAAAACTATTCAGATTCATAAACCTATATGTTATTCTATCGTTATTATAGAAAATGATGATGATTTATTGTNGGACAGCGTTTTTTTTAAGAAAAATCTATTTTGTTAATTTTACTGATTTCTGTAGATAATATACAACTTGTTGCTAGTTTTTTTAAAAAAATATGATTGGTTCTTATAAGACTTAACTTTTTTTATCTGCTTACTTTTCTCAGTCGTTAGATCCACAATCAAATCTTGTCTTTTTGTTTTCACCACCTCTTTTGCTTATCAAAATCAAATTGTACAATTAGTTTAATTTTATTTAGGTTTTCATTATATCATCAATGATGTTTCTAATATTGTGAGTATAGAGAAACAAAACTGTCATAATATTTTTTTTTCTTAAAATCAAAAATCAAATTCTACAATTAGTCTAATTTTATTTAAGTTTTCATAATATCATTAATGATGTGACTAATATTATGAGTATAGAAAAACAAAAACTGTCATAATATAGTTTCTTAACAGAATTATTAGGCGAAAACATATGCGAAAAAACAGCTGTCCCCTAGTTTGAAGACACAGCTGGGGAAAAAAACAGCTGTTCCCCAGTTAAAAGACAAAAAACAGCTGTGCCCTTGTACCAAGTTAAAAGACAAAAAACATAGCTGTCCCTAGTTCAAAGATACAGCTGGGAAAAACAGGTGTGGTCCTAGTACTCCGGTTAGAAGACAAAAAACACAGCTGCGAAAAAAAAGAAACAGCTGTCTCACTGTGGTTGTTTGAAGACAAAAAACACAGCTTGGGAAAAACAGCTGTACCCTAGCACAGTAGTTAGAAGACAAAAACACAGTTGTCCAAGTTAAAAGACCCAGCTGCATTCCCACGATCTGGATAATAACTCTTCGAAGACAAGACAAAGAAGTAGCTGAAGATAAAAGCCGCTGAATTTTTCCAAAACTTCACTTATCGACCAACGTTTTTACCAAGAACCTCAATCATCGACCAACTTTACTACCAATAACTTCACTCATCGACCAAGAACTTCACTCATCATGTCCGACATCGGTAAGTAATTTTTTATTTTAATAATAATAATACCTACCTTAATTTAGATTATAATTTTTTTATAATCTAATTGTAGAATTTGATTTTGATTTTGAAAAAAAATAATAATAAAAGAGGTCCCAAGCCTAAAACAGCCGACAGTGGTGAAAACAAAAAGACAAGATTTGATTTGAATCTAACGGCTGAGAAAAGTAAGGAGATAAAAATTCCGGACTTTAAAATTAAGATGAGTGAATCTGAGAGAATTGAGATACAGAAATTTTAGTCAAATTTCTATGTATGTATGACAAAAAGTAAAGGATCATATCCTCCTAATAAATATAATATAAATGTAAAACATTTTAGCAAGTATAAACAAGCATTCAACGCAATGGGACAGCATTTGAAAGAATATACCAAATTTTAATAGTATGGTATAATGTTTTTATACAAATTATTGATTGTGTAATGATATAATGGTATAACAGTTTTTTAATATTTGCATAATGTTTTTTTATAATATAATGGTTTTATTCAATATTATTCATTGTGTGATGATATAATGGTTTAATACAAATTATTGATTGTGTAACGATTGGTGAAAACAAAAAAGACAAGATTTGATTTGGATCTAACGGCTGATAAAAGTGAACAGATAAAAATTCCAGACTTTAAAATTCAGATTAGCGAATCTGAAAGAATCGAGATACAAGAATTTCAGTCAAATTTCTATGTATGTATCACAAAAGTAACGGACCATATCCTTCTAATATAATATAGATGTAAAAGATTTTAGCAAGTATAAACAAGCATTCAACGCATTTGGAGGAATATACCAAATTTTAATAGTATGGTATAATGTTTTTATACAAATTATTGATTGTGTAATGATATAATGGTATAACAGTTTTTTAATATTTGCATAATGTTTTTTTATAATATAATGGTTTTATTCAATATTATTCATTGTGTGATGATATAATGGTTTAATACAAATTATTGATTGTGTAACGATTGGTGAAAACAAAAAAGACAAGATTTGATTTGGATCTAACGGCTGATAAAAGTGAACAGATAAAAATTCCAGACTTTAAAATTCAGATTAGCGAATCTGAAAGAATCGAGATACAAGAATTTCAGTCAAATTTCTATGTATGTATCACAAAAGTAACGGACCATATCCTTCTAATATAATATAGATGTAAAAGATTTTAGCAAGTATAAACAAGCATTCAACGCATTTAAAGGAATATACCAAATTTTAATAATATAGTATAATGCTTTTATACAAATTATTGATTGTGTAGTGATATAATGGTATAACAGTTTTAAAATATTTGCGTAATGTTTTTTTTATAATATAATGGTTTTATACAAAATTATTGATTGTGTGATGATATAATGGTTTTATACAAATTATTGATTGTGTAATGATATAATGGTATAACATTTTTTAAAAAAAATTCAGTGATGATATTCTAATTACGATTTTTTTTAAAAATGGTTTTTACATTTGTATTAAGAAAAAAAGCTTTCAAAGGGTATGTCACAAGTTATAGAGCATTTATCTCTAATTATACATATCCTAGTATTATATTTGAAAATATTAGACATACTATTTATAATATTGTGACTAATAATGATTTAATTTCGAGAATGAAAATTTTATTAAATCTAAAGATAAAATTTATAAAATATTCAGAAAATGAAACTATTACGTATCAGGATGTGTTTTTCTCCAGTCGAGTAGAACATATTTTATCTCGGTATATGATCGATGAAAGGTTAACAAATGCTTTTGATACAATTTTAAACTTCATTGATCAGTTTATAAAAAACGGATCAGGGTGGATAATTAAGGAAATTATATTTTTAGATATTCATTTAGGAATTTATAAGGCTGAGAGTGGTGGATGTGGTAATATCATCCTACCAAAACATTTAATTAATAAGCGTTGTTTGTTGAATATTAAATGTAGTGATAATCAATGTTTTTTATACTGCGTAATTGCTAGTTTGTATCCAAATACTAACAACAAAAATTCGATTTATTCGTACAGGAAATTTTTGAAATATTTAAATACAAATACCCTAAAATTTCCAGTAAATATTAAAAATATTCCATCATTTGAAAAAAATAATAGTTTAAAAATTCAAGTATTTGGATATGAAAAAAAAATAATTTATCCTATTTATATAAGTAAATATCAGTTCGAAAAAGAAATTAATTTGTTATTATATAAATCCCATTATTTTCTAATTAGAAATTTTAACAGACTATTGTCAGAAAAATCAGGAATACGAAAATTTTGTAAACGATGTCTTATAGGCTTTCAAAGAAGCCATACTTTAAATGAGCATGTGAAAATATGTTCTAATTATAAATATCAGAAAGTTTCTACCCCGACTGGAGAAAGAGCGGTTGCTAAATTTACTAATTACGAGAAGCAATTATATCACCCCATAGTAATTTATGCTGATTTTGAATCGATTCTAGAAGAAGTTGATGTAAACGCTGTAGATCTAAATTCTAGTTTCACTAAAACTATTCAGATTCATAAACCTATATGTTATTCTATCGTTATTATAGAAAATGATGATGATTTATTCTATTCTAATTTTTATTGTGGTAAAGATGCTGTTAAGCATTTTTTATTTGATATCCAGAATCAATTAAAATTTTTATTAGATAAAATAAATAGTTATGTAGAAATGAATGTGGATACTATTCCCGATAATTACGAACATCGGTGTCATATATGTGAGGAGGGGTTTAATTATGATGATATCAGAGTAAGAGATCACGATCACTTAACAGGTGATTTTCGCGGAATAGCTCATAACCATTGTAATTTAAATTATAGATTCAAAAAATTTATTCCTATTATACTACATAATTTTACAGGTTATGACTCCCATCTGATTTTCAAAAATATTCCTCCTAAACTATTTTCGAGAATTCAGATTATCCCAGTTAATTCAGAAAAATTTACTACGTTTACTTTAGATCATTTCAAATTTATAGACAGTTTCCAATTTTTAAATTCTTCGCTAACTACTTTAACAGAAAATTTAAAAAATGCAAATTATAATTTTCCTATTTTTAATCAATTTTTCTATAATAACGAAAATAAAAATTTATTAAAAAGGAAAGGAATTTTCCCATATTCTTATTTTAAAAATGAGGATATTTTATACGAGAAATGTTTACCCCCAAAAAAATATTTTTATAACGAATTATCTGGAGAAAATATTAGCGATGATGATTATGATCATGCAAAATTAGTTTGGAAAAAATTTCGTTGTAAAAATTTTAAAGATTATTTAAAATTATATCAATATGTTGACACTTTATTACTAGCTGATATATTCCAAAATTTTAGAAAATTAAGTTTAAAATATTATAATTTAGATCCAGTATATTTCATAACAGCTCCAGACTTAACATGGAATTGTGGATTAAAAATGACAAAAATTCAACTCGAATTATTTAAAGATATTAATATGTACCTTTTTATTGAACAAGCAATTCGCGGCGGAATTAGCCTAACTTCGAAAAGATTCGCGAGGGCCAACAATCCTCTAATTCCAGAAACCTATGATAAAAATCAACGACATAACTATATTATTTCGATAGATGCTAATAATCTCTACGGATTTGTGATGAGTTCTTATTTACCTGTAAATAATTTCAGATGGTTATCTGAGGATGAGATAAATGCTTTAGACATTTGTAATATTCCCGATAGGAATAATATAGGCTATATTTTAGAGGTTGATTTAAATTATCCACCAAATGTTCATGACCGCCATAATGACTTACCATTAGCTCCTAATCATACATATATTCCATTCGATTTATTATCAAATTATCAAAAATCGGTATTAACTAAATTAAATTTAAAATATAATAATAATAATAAGAAATTAATTCCAACTTTGTTTGATAAACAAAATTATGTAATTCATTATAGAAATTTAAAATTTTATTTAGAAGAGGGTTTAATATTAACTAAAATTCATCGAGTGCTTGCATTTAATCAAGAACCATGGCTTAGAGATTATGTATTGTTTAATAATAAAAAACGGCAGGAATCAACGAATGATTTCGATAAAAGTTTTTTCAAGTTAATGAACAACAGTTTTTTCGGTAAAACCTGTCAGAATGTGAGAAAGCGTTTAAATTTAAAAACAGCCATGACTGAAAATCAATGTCGAAAGTATTTATCTCACTCAGCTCTCGAAAATTTCCAAATTATTAATGATAATCTCACGATTTTTAAAATGAAAAAAATTAACTTATGTTTGGATAAACCGATTTATATAGGATTTTGTGTATTAGAATTAAGTAAATTGCATATGTATCAAATATTTTATAAAATATTTAAAAATAAATATGGTGAAAATGTGAATTTGTTATATACAGATACTGATTCACTAACACTTCAAATTTATACGAATAATTTATATAATGACTTTAAATCATTTCCAGATATTTTTGATTTCAGCAACTACCCTAACACACATGAATTATTTGATGTAACAAATAAAAATAAGCTTGGATATTTTAAAGACGAGACAGCGTCTAAACCTATAATAGAATTTTGTTCATTAAAACCGAAAATGTATTCGTATATTTTCGATAATCAAAATAAAAAAACAGCTAAAGGAATTAAAAAATCTGTTGTTAAAACCTTTAACCACGAAAAATATAAAGAAGTTTTATTTAATACTGAGCTATTAAGACATCAGCAGTATGGTATTAAAAGTAAAAACCATATTGTAACAACATATCTTCAGAATAAAATATCACTCTCCCCGTTTTACGACAAAAAATTTATTTCTGATAATGGTATAGATGTGATATCGTTCGGACATTATACTTTTTATATTTAAATTCTTCCAGATTCTCTGATATCATCTCCCCCCCAATACGGTTACATATTATTGTACAAGAGGAAACGAAATTCAAAAACTTGTTTAATACATGGTGTTTCGAGTAAAACATATCGTTGTTTAAAACAAGCTGTAAATAAAGCTGGATTATTTAAATTACCAAATAATAAGAAATACTTTTGTAAATTTTTTGTATTGACTAACCAGATAACAATGATGTTATGTAATAATAATTTTATAAAATGTGGTTGTTCTAACTGTAATCATACTTTAAAAAAAAAATGTTGTAACCAATTACATTGCTTATTTATATAAAAATAAAACTATATCCTAATACCGAGTTTTTTTTTATAGAATTCAAACACATTACACCACTCGAATGGGAAAAGTTTTTGAGTTTACCGATGGACGAAAATAATATCAAACGTTTTAAAAACTATATTAAATGGGAAATTATAAGCCAAAAAACTGATTTAAGCTGAGGGTTCATTTCCGAATTCGCTGATAATTTAAACTTGGAACTAATGTGGAAAAATTATATATTTACTACTACATTTATCGAAAAACATATTAAATACGCTAAATGGAATATAATTTCTGAACACCAATTATTAGATGAAAAATTCATGGATAAGTTTTCGAACTATCTTAATTGGGATAAAATAGCAAAATTTCAACTTTTTTCTGATAATTTTATTAAGAAATATATTGATAAATTAAATATGAGAATAGTTTTAAANTTTCTTGTAAAGTTGTAATTATTTTAATTATTTTTATTTCCAAACTGATTTTAACCAGTTCTATAGTAAGGTAACATTCCAATAGACAATATGCAAAGCTTTTTTTCAGTTTACAGCAGTATTTATTACACAAAATTTAAGTTAAGCTTAACATGCCGATCTTGCCCCGATCTCCCCTATATATGTGACGAGTTATGATTTTTTACGAAACTGTAATGTCAAAAAAGGGCTTTGTTACTGAATTAAAATAATTAATTAATCGATTTTTAAATATGTATTTTCATGTAATTATATTCTTGAAAAATACTTAATTAAATGTTTTTGAAGTATTCATTTATTAATATTAATATGCGTGTGTCTTGAATTGGGATTGAGGAATGAAAAATACTTTTTATAAAAGGGTCGTAAATTGAAAAGATAGGAATCTTTGATCAGAATTTAAGAAAAAATAAAAAATACCAAAAAATGCTTATCTTATAAGCTCTTTGAAAGATGTCTGTTCTCTATTAAAGAACTGTGTTAACAGCGAACAGACACTCATCTTTTGAAGCAGTGTATGATTACGATTTATGCGGGTGTTATTTTTTTTAGACCGAATGAGTAATCATCTCATAAAAATAAATCAAAATTTGCCAATTCATAAGTAATATTTGAAACTGTAAAAAATTATAGGCTATATACATAAAAACTTAATCTTATTAAGATAAAATAAATTTACAATGTTGGTGGTATTTACCAAAGATTAATAAAAGTAAAGTGAAATTCTTGAAATTTAACAAAAATTTACTTGCACAGTAAAGTAAAAATTTATAAGTACCCTTTTAATATTCACTAAAATGTTTTAAATTGGCGATCAATTTTATAATCGCGTAAAAATTAAAATATGCTATATGTTCTCTTACAGGAAAAACCGTATAAATTACGATCGCATTATGCATAAAATAAATATTTTTGTAAAATAAAAGTACGAAAATTTCCTTATTTTTATTATTTGTTATTAAGCGATCCGCTTAATAACAAATCCTTAAGTAAAAGGATTATTCATGCTAAATTGTACATCGGACATAAAATTGGTTGCATGCAATTTAAAGAATTAAAAAAATACTACAATGTCTGATAAATATTCTACAAATCGTGTCGCTATATTAAAAATAATAATTATATTTATATTTAAAAAATGTGTTTTGGTTATACTACAGTTCAGGATGTATTAATGTTTGAATGTAGAATCATATGGAACAGTCGAATTATTTTTATGGAACATTCCGACATTACTTACAATTTTTTCCGTACTACTGTCTTTAACGTTTGCGTGTAGACAAGCATTTTCTGAACTGAATATTAGGATATCGCAAAGTAATATATAGTGAAATATAATTGATCTGAGGAAATATTAACTCGATCGCAAGCAGTCACGAAAAAACTTCGAAGTATATTTATTTAGCTATATAGCCTATAATCAAACATATTAGGATTTTGACAAAATTCGATATGAATTTTAATTAATTCCGATGAATTAAGGTTAAATTTGTTCTCATTAACTCTTTAAAATTAATTGGAAAAAAGCTTTCAATCATCAAGTCTGTGTGTATCTTTTTTCAAATATTAACTTAAAATTGTTTATAATTTTTGAACAGATTCAGTTTATCATCTTATTTGATAAAGTAAGTGGCTCCGAAAGCTATAAAAATCAAGTTATAAGTAAAGATTATCAATAGCTGAACAATTAGATTAATTTTTTCTCTATTAGGGTAAATTTAAAATATTGAATGTATGGAAAACGTCATGTATTCACGAAGTAGGCGTAAAAGATTTTTTTGAGAAATATGTTTCTTTAACATTTTCATTATATTTTTTTACTATTGAACACAAGACTGTGTTATTATTAAAACACTTGGCGTTTATCCACTTTATTCAGTTGATACGGGCACTTTTACACGTTTCGGGCGTATAGCCGNCAAATCATTTTTTAAAACTTAAAACGTATGTAAAGTCTAGAAAATAAAAATATAGTCTCATTCTGTCTCTGTTAGAAGCAAGAATGATAAAGGGCGGGAAGTTC